ATTTCATAATCAATATGAATTTTAACTGGTAGCTTATGCAAGGTGGGTGAAACAGGTCTAATAGTCTTCTAAGGAACTATTGATGTTACATTTTATAATAGCTTGTATAATATATTTTAACGTTTGGTGTAAGTTAATCTAAAGAGGTTTCATTTCAAGTCATTGTGGAGCATTTATATTGACCCATTCATCATGAATTTCTTACACAACGGCGCTATGTTCATATGATGTAGAAAAATACAAACTGAAAACAATGGAGATACATGTTTTTGGACAATGATGGTATGTAGTAATACTTCATAGTGACGCTGGTCCTAACTCTAACTGATATTCACATTTAGTAACATGCTGTTTCTCGCCCATATTGGGGCGTTCTGGTTTTGTCTGTGCTCCCAGCAATAGTAGAATTAGCATTCATGGCTCATTTCTTTCCTGTGGACGGCGTCCTTCGGCCGCCTCAAGTGAAATTCTTTGCCCACAGGAGCAAAATATTCTTAATAAGGCCACTAGTGGGAGCCACATGCAATGTTTTCACATATTGAAATAGCAAATTGTGACATGCTATCAATTAATGTGGTGCCGCAGTTTTGTATATCAGGCAGTGTGTTGTCTGACCTCGTCTTTGTTTATCTGGTCAAAGGGCAAAAACTCATGCTCAGAGTTATCAGTCCAGGGACTCCTGGCAAATCAGCACAGCCATGGTTTAGAAAGAAGAAACAGCAGAGAAATAGAGTGTACGTATACAGTCTTCATAAAAAATGAGCTGTGCAATAAGTGCATGTGTCACATGCATGTGCTTAGCCTTTAAAAGTAATGATGGCTTTTGTTCCATTCTGAAGCCATATAACTAGAGTACAGGCTCTGTTTCATAGGTGCTGTCTCCTGCTCTGGGGAAGCACTTTGAAGAGGTGATTAGCAGGGTGAGAAGAGTCCATGAGAACTTTGTATGCCACATATAGCAGTCTGTCATGATGGACAGAAACAACCGAGAGGGGATCAAGTCCTTTAATTCTTCATAATGTGCTGAACGAGCCATCTCCTTTCTTATGCTATTGTATCAGACGATGTTAGTACACCTTCAGTGACAGCCCTGCAGAAATGTAGCATTACCTTTGTCTCAGGAAATAAATTCTTTGATGGCATTTGAAGATAATTCCACTAGTGTTGTCCTCCTTTATTTTAGGTACAACTTATAGCTATTAGTTGATAGTTGTATCATGCTAAGCTTTAGTTAGGATATTTTTGCCACTGCACAAAAGTACCAGAACCTTTGGCACCAGAGAACTAGGGATATGCTTGTTCCATTGGCTGTTGATCCAGTCTCAAAGGTTCTAGCTTTAGGGTTTTTGATATCTGCTCAAGATTGTTACCAACAAGACCTAATGGTACTTGAGGGTGTTCTCCTCTCGTGCAGGCAGCCACTTCAGCAAACTTTTACTCATCCAGGTGAGGATAAAGTCATCAAGCGCTATTACAGGGCCAAATACATTGCCAATATGTGCATCAAAGTGCAAAATAAAACAGTATAATAATGTTTTAGAATTTTTACTTACTGTAATTTTTACTGTAAATTGTTTACTGAGTTGACACGAGCTAGCTAGCACCAACAGTATTAGCATTTATGCTAGCTTCACAGTGTTTTTGCTTTGCTTTGCTTTGTTTTATTCTACACAATTTTGTGAAATTCTACAGTATGTTAAAGCAGAAAAGTACACTATATTATTTCATGTCAGCACAATCAATGAATACAAGATAGTTAACCACTTAAAATCCCAGGCTTTTTATATACTAAAGCTTATTATTCAGTAACTACATGGATGTCAGTGCAAGCTGGCTGAGCTATTCTTAGGTAATAGAGTGTGTAATAAAGCTTTGGGCCTGCTGGTGGGCTCTGGTCATATATATAAGGAGTAATTAGCCAAATTAGACACTTTAGAGTGGCATACAAGGACCAAAAAGCAGGTGAGGCAAAACTGTAAGTTCTGTTGTTTCCCTCTTGGGTCAGTTTTTGTTTTGAGTGTGCTGTGGAAAACTCCCCTTAGTATCTCTAGCATACTGTTTGAAGATAGACCAAGAACAACAAGCTCACACAAGGGCCCCGTTCACACCTGGCATTAGCATGTGTCTTGGGTGATTTGATCATAAGTGGACAGTACTTGGTACAGGTGTGAACGGAGAGCAGTCTCAGAGATCCGATCATTCAAACCACCTTGGGAGGTGGACAGAGATGTTTATGACCACAGAACATTTGTAGTGTGAATGCTAAAGTGCCCCAATGTATCCTAACTCCTAATGAACTGTATCATTACAACAGAGACGAAAGCAGTGCAGCTTCTTTCTTCATCCTGGTTGTTTACAAGATGTACTAGCAATCCATGTGGTCTAAACATCTGTAACAGACCTTACATGTACATGAACAAGGACTTTGTCTGACAACAAACGTGGTGAGACTGACAGTGAATTTGTGCAGTACCCCTCCTCTAGTCACACAGTGGTCACTGGAGACACCTTCGAGGCACACGGAAATGTGTACGTTGTTCTTTGTCGATAGCTTCACTCTGACCTTGAATCTTATCCGTCTTCAGGCCAACCATGAATCTCGTAACAGGAGAAAGGATTACAGGGCAATGACCAATACTTGTATGTAGGGAGGAGAAACTGCACTGTGATTCCACAAGGGGGCGACATTATCTCCATCAAACATCTCAGTGCATCAAGTCTTCACGTCACCTAGAACTTTGTTCATTCACTGTGATCTTAACATGGCAACGTTTGAAATCCTCCTTTAAACTGAGTGCCTCTGTATTCAAAATAGTCAGTAGTTTTTCTATTCTACAGCAATGTGTCCTGTAAGCAGCAACCACTAAATAACTTTCTGCAGATGTGGGAGAGTGAGCCAGGACACAGAAGATTGGTACCAGCAGGATCTAATTGTACTTTAGGGTGAACCATTTAGAAAAGTTTTACCCTTCCAGATAATGATAAAGTCACCAAGTGCTATTACAGGGCCAAATATGGCAAAAAATAAATGCATCAAAATGCATAAAATTAATACTGAATGTTGATGTGTTTATCACTAATTTTAGAATTATTACTTTGTAAATTGTTTACTAAGGTGATATAAGCCAGTTAGCAAGCTAACACTAACATTATTAGCATTTATGCTAGCCTCCACAGAATGAGTGTTTTTGCTTATATTTTTTACTTTACTTGACAGAATTTTTTTCACACGATATAGTGAAATTCTAGAGAAGGTAAATGCAGAAAACTGCCTCTATTCTGTTGAACACAGACTTGGACTGTGGCTGAAATAGAACCTAGACATTTGCGTAACCCTAGACAGGTTGCCAGTCCATCACAGGGCAGTAGAGTTGGGCAATATGACAATATATTATGGTTATTGTGATAAATTTCGACCATATTAAAGAACATTGACCACCTGCATGTTTCATTACAAACAGAGCATAATTAGTGCTGTTTAATTGGACTTAACTCAGCACAGTATGTGGAAAAATTGAATAAAAATAATGGTACATTGGGATTCAGGCAGAAATAGCAATATTTCCCAACAGTACAGTACAGTACAGTCAGTAATGCCTTGCCAGCTTCAAAAAAACTCATGATGAAACAAAGTATGATGGCCAGGGGTGTACAACTCCAAACAAAAGCTGTCTTCAACTACAAGCTGTATAACTAGACAGGCTGGATACCATTTAGGGTTAAAACTGTGGTTTCTTTGCACTAAGCCGGCTGAGCCTGTCTCAGTATGTTTTTCCTCGTTGTTTCATGTTCTACCATTTTGAGATTCTACATCAGGTAATTGTAAAAATACAGCCATTATAACCAATCACATGTGAATGTCACTCCTGTAAGATTGTAGTCTGTATAGCACCATGTTTTTTGGCTTACTGTTTGCTTTGAGATGACCTTGATTAAATATGTGATTAGTCTAAAGCTTCCCTACAGCACAATCTAATTTGAAGCCAACTTTTGGCTTTTTTGCAGGACAGTACTTTTAGGTTGACATTTGACCTGTTTTTAGTAAACAATTATGAAAAATTTCCTATAAAAACATATATCCAGACATCTTGATATATCAGATCTACTTCAGTGGCTGAGAACACAAATGTGGATACTAAAGATACTGATGCAAACTGTTCTCTCTAAGATGGTAGACTCTTCTAAGATGGTATTGAGAGCCCGACCAAAACTTGCCTTTTGATGATGTTGTTGTAGTATTATTGGAGTACAGGAATGTGAGACCTGCTCTCTAAGAGACTTTGACTATAACATGTTCAGGCCTATCCCAAAGCCGTTGTTCATTCATGGCTTGTTGATATCCATGTGCTAAAACAAGAATATACACAAAAAGTTAATCATGAACTTTAGTTAATTAGATCATTGCAACATGAGCCAAAGACACATGAGCTAATGCCAACACAGCTTTTGTATTTTCAGATAGTTTACGGCAAAGTAAAATATATCCATAGAGCATGAGTGGGCAAATAGTCTGGGCCTAGTTTCCCAAAGGCATCCTAGTCTTAGTTCACATTAACTGGTAGAGAGAGCATTCAGTGTGATGCTTGCGCTACTTTGTGCCAAGATGATGTTGAGAAATCCCGCCATGGTTTGTAAACTCACCATTTACTTTTATGCATTTGGCAGGCGCTATTATTAGTAGCCTTTTAGTGCTGGAATAGAACATCAACTCTTCTTGGAACCTTGTAATTAGTAATTAGTCTTTTTCCTAAAAGATCCAAAAAATACAATAAATGGCTAATGGTGAATATGTTTGTTATTCATCTCATATGTGTCTCCTGAATATATGAAGATTAGCCAAAGAAAACTAGAGAAATAACAACAGATACCAAATTAATGAACCTTCACTTCCAATGATGGACTTATTAGTGTGTGTGATCTATGTAGTGCAAATAATTTTAAGTTTCAAAATGATTGGTGAGTCAATACTTAAAATACTGTACATAAAAAAAGTCTCAACATTAATTCCCAAAATTAGCCTTTATTCACATTGGCCAACTATCAGCATTCAAGGTTGTTTGTTTGGCTATGATAACCCCTTTTGAATTAAGATTACAACAATAACCACACTGGACATGCTGGAATGGACTGGATAAGGGTTGATGCAGCATTCAAAGACCTCCACAATGAAAACAGTCCATCACCATTACCAATAAATTCTTTAAAAATGTAATTTTCCCCTCCAAGAAGATGCATCTGGCCATTTTGTCACAGCAGGACAAAAATTATTTAAATTAAAACCCATTCTATGAATATTTTATATTATAAATCTTAGCAAATTTTCCTTCCTTGCTTTTTACCTCGTAAGACATACATCAAAATAACCAAGTATAAAGATGGAATGGTAAAGCACCTTTTATAATATTACAGAAAACATTTAATTGTATTTGTACATTATAATTATAAAATGGTGTACAAAAAAGACTTGGTATTTAAAAAAGCAGACACCAGTGTTATAAAGCATATTTATAGAGCATAGAGATGCTATCTCTTAAATTTCCTTTTCCTCCCAAGTCTTTGGCTGGACCTGGCTGAGTACTGCTGCTGGAAGTCTATGAGGCAGTCTGCAGCTTCGGATATTGAGGTGAAGGATTTGATGGGAGACGAGCTCACGTAAAAGCCTGATGCTGGACAGTTTCCATTTCCACCAGCTTCAGCCACCTCTGACGAGTCTGCAAGGCCACTGCAGAAGCGGTCGCGTTAAAGTCAAGATTAAGTTGCTTGAGGGAAACAGTAACAGCCAGAACTGTTTAGAACCTACCCGTGGTTTTTGTTTGTAACATTAGACGGTCCAGCTCCGTCATCATCATCATCATCATCTGAAAAGAATTCAAGTACTTTATTAGAAGAATTACAAACACAGTTTCTGTAAAGCATCATAATGTTAACATCATAAGAACTGTTGAAGAGCAGGGCCAAAGTTTTATTTGCACAATCATAAGAAATGATCTTTGCTCTTAATATGACATGAGCAAAAGGTCAAACCAAGAAGAATACTTACCTAAATGCACTCGTTCTGCCTGATGTAGGGCAGAGAGCAAACCGTTTCCCTAAATCATAAATGACAAAAACGAGAAAAACCTTAATAAAATGCAAGTCTTATTCAGATGTGTACTCTCTAACTGACATACGGGGTCAAGAACCAGCAGTGGCATGCGTGGACCAAGGCAGGTAGTGCCCAAGAACAAGTGGACATATTCCAGGTATAAAATACTTCATAAAAGTATTTAAAATAATAGAGAAGTCTATCTACAACTTAAATCTTACCTGATTATTTCTGGGTCCTTTCTGCAGAAGGCACTTTTCCACATGATGGCTGTACTGCTTGGATGGGAAAAACTTCTGACACAGGTAGCATTTCTCTCGCTGCTCTGACCTGCTGTACGTTAATATCTGCTTATTATTATTTATTAAGTCAGTAGGTGAACACATGTTCTTCTGATAAGAATTACGATACCTACTTACTTCTCCGATCCCGACAAGGTCTCTTCCGTTGGTATTCTTTTGGTCCTCTTGCGCAGTGTAACTGCTAAATACAAAAAAGAACAGTGAGCAAAAGCAGTTTGCTGTTCACAATGACTAGTGTTTTAAAGTAGAAATTACACAGTATCGCTGATTTCTGACTTTGTGAAAGGTCATCCTGTTGTTCTTGGTCCTCTGTGTTGCCATCACAGTAGGCAGCATGCACCTCGATCTTGCCGATGGGAAAGAGGCGAGAACACATGGGGCATTCCACTTTCTGGCTCTGAGCAGGTGCTGACTCATTTTGTTGCTGCTCCTCCTCCTCCGCTGCCTGCTCTTGCTCCATTCTCTCCTCTTCAGCAGCTTCTCCTTCATCCACCTCCATTACCTCACTCTCTGCCCGTGACTGCGGCTAAGAGATGAAAGATTAGGAACGGTTATGACTGGAAAAAGGAAAAAAAAAACCTCTAAACTCCTTAAAAAAATTCATCTGTTCTGAAAGAGGTACCTGCGCAGGACTGGTCACCATTAGCTCTGGTGTGTTGTCTTCAGTCATCTGAGTTTCTGTGTTCAAAGAGATGGTGGGAGGAAAGAAACATGGTTCAAAACACATGAATCTCAAAACAGATATCTTCTTATTTTTATAATCTTGAGGGAGCACTAAAGAACTGTTAGAGACCTGGAAGTACAACAGTAATCTGATAAACAGTGGACCACTTTGTTAACTGTGTACTGCTTAATGCAGTTGCACAAACACCGGCAGAGTTACTCAGGTTTGCCTGGAATGACACAGTATCTGGACCTGATCCTACCTGGACACACAGTGTTCTCCTCATCATAATTTTCATTTTGTATGTCTTCATGCTCATCAGGCTGTTGGATCTGGGTGTCGTCAGAAAGATCCTGAGGACCAGACTTCCTACAACTATAAAAGATTCTGAAGTGGAACATTTTTTTTGGTGGTGTTTCAGTAAAACTGGTAAAACATCCAAATACCAAATAATCTACATGAGAGATTTATTAGTAAAAGTCCACATTACCAGAAAATATCATATTCTGGTCACTGTTTTACCTGGAAGGTTTAACGGCATCTAAAGACCCATGTTGTCCAATGAGCAAAGGGGAGTTCTGCTGTTAAGAAAAAAGACATTACTTAGGTTATGCTGCTGAATCTGATTTCTTGTGCTGTAAAATACTTTACAACTTCACCAAAATGCCTGTTACTACAGTTATGCGATCCATCTTTCGTGCTAGACGAAGATGAACAGAAGAGTGCCAACTTGTGGTGAAAATATTGTTGAACACAAAAAGGACAAATACAGTAAACAATATCGGAAACAAGGAGAGGTCAAATTCAGTAGCCTTTCATATCAGATATCAGAAAAGCAATGCTCAACTTAACTGAAATCCCAAAATGACGCTTTTAAACAAACTAAGCAAACGAATATACAAACTGTTCAGCATTTAGCCAAGGTGTTTCACTGCAGTGAATAATACACACCGCAAGCTCCACCTGCGTCTCAGGAGAGGACACCACCACATATGTTTCACTCTGTCCATGTTCCACTTCTTTTTCTGAACCTCCCCGGGATTCTGCCCTGTCCTCCTCCTCTTCCTCGTCCAATTTTTTCTTTTTCTCTTCCACCATTTTTTCTGGCTCTTCATCCTCTTCCTCCTCCAGAAGCTGAGGGGCTCTGTGGCGCTTCATTCTCCTACCAAATGGCCTCTCTGCTGGGCATGGGAACAGCTGCACCCACAACACCACCAAAAAGGCTTTGAGAATTTAAGCATGTGTGCAATCACAATTAATGTAGATACAATCCACTTTCAATCATGTAATTACCTGGCATTATGATGCAGAGCTTAAATTTCAATGCTTCTAAATAAAGATTTCTAAAACCACTCCTGTGGTTCTGCTTGTGCAATAATGGATTAAGCAACTGACTAAATTTCATAAGGAAGTTTCTTACTTGCAGTTAGGGGTGTAGAAACGCATTTATGATAAAGCCTTAAATATTTGTCCAAACATGACAAGATCTGACCACTCATGTTGGGTTTGGTTGTCTTAGCTTATGTAAAAAGCTTATCTAAAACTTCAGAATGTTCAAAAGCCTGTCTGATGAACAAATTAGTTGAAACAGAATCTTAAACTTAATTTTGGACAGTTGATTATTTTGCTAGTTCATATTTTATATATTTTTATTTTATTTATCCAAGATCTAATGGCAGCTTTTTCTGGACAGAATTTTGTTGTTTGTGGGTCAGTTTTGATTCCAAACTTGGTGCTATGGGTCAGTTTGGGTTGGACCTAATGTTCAACCCAAACACTTTTCTTCATCATCATCATCATCATCATCATCATCAGACAAATGCAGGACCATGTGACTACTGAACTCCTCCATAGATTGGCTTGTATATGGGTTCAGACCTAAATTTCAGGCCCAATTAAAGCGCTAAATGATTAACTGTGATTGGAATGTGATGATTCAATTCAACTGCATCGTTTTTTATTATAATGTTCAATAAAATATGCACTGACTTTTTGGCAGAAATAAAATTCTCAAACCACATAAATATATACATAAAAAAAGCCTGGTCTGTTGTTTTATCGTCTGTTTTCCGCTACTATGTAAGTAGTTCCTCCAGTCACTTTAGTTTGGAGAATTTTTATGGACTATTTTTGAATGTAAAAGGCTTGAAGCATTGCTTTACATTCCACTGCCCACTGTGGAAATATTTAATTTTAATCATTAATAATAATATTTAAATAATTTAATGTTTAATATGATTATTGTGAGGTCAAAGGCCAATACTCCCAATAGTAAATTAACACAGCATGACTCACTGGCAGACTCCACTCTGCTTTGTGCAGGAGCTGGCGCTGGGCTTCTTTCAGACTCTTCTCATACACCTCCAACTGGCTGAGGATAACTCCTGTATAATCATCTGGGCTTTGCCCCCTGGGGCAAAAGGGGACTCCCCAGTAATATGACACCAGACCATTCCCTTTCCCTTCCATCAGGTGTGTAGGTTTAGAATCACAGGCAGGTTTTTTGAGGAAGCCAACTTCTAGCTGGTCAGACTCGGCTGGATAAGTGGTCTTGGAGGTGAATTTCCTCCGAACACATACATGCCGGGAATCAGAGTCTTGTGTGGAGTGACCAGGTGTACAGGAGCAGTTTTGTGTAGTGGTGACAGTAGGTGGGGAGCAGCAGGGCTGGGTTGGAGAGAGCCTTGAATGGTCTGGATGTAGAACATGCTCCTGGTGGAAGACAGGGCTCGGATCAACAACCTGGAAAACGTAATGAGATATTTAGGCTCATGAACAAGCAGATAATCACTTTCCACATAAATATGTACTGATTACCAATGTACATAAGTGAATGTATTTATATTCATGTGGAACATGTATACAGGGAAAATGCACTGGAAATGAACAAAACAAAACACACATACACACACACACAAAACAGAACAATACCTTCTCCTCCTCTTCATCATCATCATCATCATCAGACAAATGCAGGACCATGTGACTAGTGAACTCCTCCACAGATTGGCTTTCTGCAAGCAAAGGCATCTTCTCTAAATTTAGGAATCTCTCTGCAACGTCCACACACAACACAAGAGCCCTGTTGCTGTTTGCTAGTGTGCTGGCGATTCAGTCTGACCCTTGACCAACATCACAATGAAACAAAAATGCTAACTAAAGTACTTTACTAGCTAAATTACTGTCATTAAAATAGGGAAAAAACAGATCTCTGGCTTTTAGAGTTCTATACTACACAAAAATTAAAACCTACACATCATATACTTTCTATGGCATCTCAAGGTTCGAGACCTAAGAAAGAACAATTTTTGTATGGAACCATCGCACAGGGAGCCCAATAACTTGGCAGGCCCTGTCGGCAGGAACCATCGTCACTCTGTGTGATGCCACGGACTGCAGCACACTGCTCAGTTTTGCAGCCACAGTGGAAACACCACACACATGCCCTAGTTAACTGTTAAACAGAAAAAGTGGATACCACAGGTTGTGTAGAACAAAAAGCACAAAGCGAACAGAGAAAGTCCTACCAAGAACAGCATTTGAGCTGGCTCTATGACCGGGGTCATCCTTCAACTGTTTTGGCTGTACAGTTTCCTATCAACAGAGCAAACGCAGTAATACTAACAATTAATGAAGTCATTCGAAACATGATTGCTATGTAAGGCTACAGTTATGACAGCACAAACCTGCTCTGGACCAACACCATCATCAGGCACCGAAGTGTGAGGTGAAGGCTGAGACTTCCTGTAGAGTGAAAGGCGTTTTCGAGGATCCCTGCTTTCGTGAAGTTGTTTTTTATGGCTTGAAGATTCGTTAACTTTTTCTGAGTCTTCTTCTTCATTAGGTGTGCATACTTTGCCTATAAAATTATCTTTAGAGGTACAGCTAACCTTGTCCTTAGTCAATTCAATACTTCCTTTAGGGTCTGTCTGAGCAAAAACAGGGCTTTTATAAGGGGACGGGCTCTGCTGATGGGTGAGCTGGGAGCTATCAGGACAGGTTAAGCTGAGAGAACTGTCCTGCATTGACGGGGGATTCCATGAAGCTCTGCTGGTGATCATTGCATCCTGGCTCAGTCTTATACTGCACTGCTGAAGAAAAATAGGGGAACTCTGGGCCTGAGAGTCACCCTGTGAAGGCTCATCCTTCGGAGAGTCTGTTTTAAGTACTTGTTCATCTGGGTCCTTCCACTGTGTAGAGAGGCATTCCTGTAACAAAAAAATGTCAACATATTTACTAACATGCTGCACTGCCACACAAGCGACTATGTTGGTATCAGGCATGTCAGGCAAGTCAACATTTCTTCTAAACACTTAACCTTCCATTTTTTAAACAGTTAACTCCGTAATCTATAAGGAAACAAAAGTCTGCAAGGAAAGTTAAAACGTAGGCCTTACTGTTTATGACTGCTAAGGAATGTACTGGCCTAATTATTATGACTAATTTCTCTAGCCAGGCTGTCATGGTCTTCTGACAAGGAATGCTGCAGTCAGGTTCTAAATATACCATTTTACCACCGTAAACTGATAGCTTCAATAACTGAAAGTGCCTGCCCAATTAGGTACGACCATTTCACAAGTTAGTGACAAATTGTTTCACTTCGTTTGTTAAGGGAGTTCTTAAGGGTAAAGGTTAACATGTATTGCTAGCCACTAATTCTGAAAAATATTACATATTGAGTTGGAAATATCACCACTGCAGTAATTGTCTATCCTGGACCTTAAATACTACTGCCCTGCATGTTGTTTTCCCCTATCTAACACACCCAGTCAGCTAAACAGTTCATTAGTTGTATAAGGTGTGGTGGGAATATGTATCTATGTGCAAGACAGTGGTACTCAGTCGTATGCAGAGGATGAGGATTGAGAACCACCGCACCACTGTATTTATGCTCAAAGAATTAAAAAAAAATATATTTTCATGCATCACATTCTTCACGCCTTGCTTCTTCCATTCTGCTATGGCAAAAATGCAGTGTAAGTGAAGTTTAGCAGTGAAAGTGAACAATCATTTTAAATGAATTTATGACTTCTGTTTCAAGAGGATGTGGATAATCTTTTTATAAACTTTTTTTGGTTAACCATTTAAATGTATAACTGTTTGTGCCCCTAACTGTGACTTTCACAAACAAAAATCCTGGTTAACTAAAGAACACAGTCTAATCACTACTGACATGGACACTATTTTATTCTGATGCAAGGGTTATGGTCACCAAAGATCAGACTACAGGCTGTGAAAAGCATGCAAATAAATGAAGCAAATGTCAGTCCTATGCAAAGTAACTCACTTGAGAAGCTGTAAAAGGCACAGGAGGCAGACATGGGCTTGGAGGTGAGGGCTGTGACAAGGTCTTTTGAGAAAGATCAGGCATTGGCGGCAGTGGCTTAATATCCTGCATGCTGTCCTCGCCACTTTCAGCTGCAGGAGTGACCTCATCGTCACCGGCCCTGGTCATCTCAGTCTTGCAGGGGAAGGAGAGCTTGCGTCTCAAATGTGTGGTCACAGTGGCTGGGTCTTGACTAAGCTTTGCTGTAGAGCTAGCTGGCTCAGAGGTCACTTCCAAAGCCTGGCTTTGGCTGACCTGTAATAGAAAAGTAGCTTTAAGTGAAAGATAACTGGGTTTCCAAAGTTTAACCTCAAAGACACCAGAATAAAGACAATAAGCACACAAAGCAGGTTAAGGATGATCTGTTCTTTGTAGCGTCAGTGACAATCTGAATCAGATTTCTGGTCATATCAAAGTTTTATCTGAGCTATACACACACACATTTTCTAAGGCGCTCATCTTTCTGGGTAGTGGGGGGTCCTGGAGCCTATCCCAGTGGTCACTGGGTGGAAGGCAGGATTATCTGAGCTATACTGACCCCATAAACATGTACAATCCCATAAATTTAAACCAGAAATGATAGAAAGAATACAATTTCGCCCTGGTATATAAACACAACCTTAAATAGATGCTTAACCTTACATGAAGACTTTCGGCAATGGCTTTTCTCATGTCATCGTCTTCCAGCTGTTGTCTTTGGGCAGCACTGCTTGCCTCTTGTTTACTTAGCCTCATAGCCAGGTCCAACATCTCTTCCTCAGTCATGTCTGACAGCACAAAACAATGTCATAACTTATTACCTTTAACATAAATGCAAAGTTATAGATTAGAATATATAATTAAAATACAAAAGACCTCACGACATTAAATAACTTTATTACTTTCAAAAAGGTGTGGTTTAAGGCTTATGCCACATGTTTAAAAAAAGAAGGTTCTTCAAGAGTTCTTTAGTAAAGGGAATGGTTCTATTTAGAACCGTTTCATACTTAGAAGGTTCACTGCATGGTAAAATTGTTTTTCAGGGTTCTAATAATGTGATAATGTGTTATATATGGTTCCATATAGCACCAAAATTGGTTCTTCTATTGTTACAAGCTTGACACCATAACAATACTAGAACCCCTTTATGGTGCTATATACACAATCTCCATCAATCAGAAGAACCATTTCACCATGCAAAGAATCATTTAAGCATGAAGTGGTTCTACATAGAACTAAGGTTCTGTATAGAACCATTCCCTTTAGTAAAGAACCCTTGAAGAACCATCTTTCTTAAGAGTGTTCTGACTCCTTCTGCTACTGACCAAATATCTAGACACTAATCAGGATATGCAGATACTTGCTGTGCTCATGCCTCCGTGTTTGGTTTATGTACCTTGCATTTGTGACCTGTTCTCCCTCTCTCTCCTCCGGGCTTCCCTTGGTGACATTTTGATGACATTATTTTCTTCCTGGTGGAGGAAGTTCAAATTGACAAATTTCACATTGTTCAAAAAAATAATACTTTAATTCATACATTAACCTGCACACCGCTGACAGGTACCGACAGCTTCAACTTTACACACAACACTTGCCTGCCAGAAGCCCCGAACAGGGCTGCACAGTCAGATTTGATCGAGGTTAGACCAAGTTACCACGTAAAGTTACCTGCTCGTTTTCGGAGTCAGAGATGACCAACGTGTCCTCATCCTGATTATCATCAGTGCGACGAAGTTTTCTCCGTCCTTCGTTCTGAGGTGTGGTCCGTTTCCTCCGAGGCATACTGCGGGCAAGAACGCCGGTGTAACATCCACTAGCCAGCTAACGTTAGCAAAACCCGAGCTGCTGTGGCAGCAGATACCCTGAAAGCTAACGCTAGGCTGACATGGCTAAACATTAGCTGGCTAGCTCACCTAAATTACTGTTTAACGCTCACTTAGCCCAATAAATATATAGTTAGTCACTACTAAGTAGCTCAGAACTGCTGTCGGAGCAGAGTGGGAGTGTTGGTGAGTTTACTTAAGATGTTTTTGGACGAATGTTTTCTCGCCCCAAACCATTTTCGCGTCACGTGACCCGCTCGGGCCCGAAACCCAGTTTAAGACCAAACGCGCGCAAAATCTTCTCAAGTAGCTTAACGTCGTTATTAGGCTGCCAACTCAAACCGCCCAAACCAGGAGACAAAGAATTAGTGGCACAACTAAACGTGTAACAACGCAGACATTTGCCTTGAATACCAAATCTGTAATTACAACCACGACAGAACCGTCAGTTTTAACTTTTTTATGAGAAAAGCACCAAAACCTCGCTACATTAAAGCCCCCGTACTCCCTCAAGATGTTAAGGTGAGTTTACCCTGGTTTAAACCTAGCTAGCTAGCAGAGCTTACGCCTAAAGTAATGTTTGGATAACATCTTCAGCAGCCAGCTAGTAGAAGCTAGGTTAGCTTGTCAACTTATTAGCGCATTACAGAGTCGAGAAGTGTTGAATATTTAAATATTTACCCGTTTTGTTGCTTCCTCTGCGCCGCCCTAATGATACTGACTACATGCTGTATACTACGTTTAAACTGTACAGAGAGCAGAGTCTGATAAACAAAGGAGTGAGTTCATTTTGTGTGGTCAGTGAGAGCCCATGTTGGCCATGGAAACAGATGAAAGGCACTCTGGGCTGGCTGGCTGGGTGAGGGAGGGGGATAGTGGTGGTGATGTTGGTCGTGTGTCTGCGCCTCCTCTACCACACAGCACCGCACCGCCTCCTGGACAACATGGCGCACGGAGGAGCGAATGGAGATTTTCCATATTTACCTTCAGGGGCAGCAGAAGGTAAGTTAAATTACACAAACCTAACCGTTCGTTACAATAATAGCCGCGAAATGCAGATTAAGTATGTTAGCGGAGGGTAATGTGGACAAAAACCTTCAGTCGTTGCTTAGCAAGCACAACAAAGCCTAGCTAGCAGCAGCGGTGCTATTGAAGCTAGCGAGCTAGCTACTTAGCGAGCTGGCTAGGTGTTTTAGAGAGACTGACTGACTCCCAAGGTCGCAGTAAGGCTAAGAGGAGGACATCTAAGCGAACAAGCTGATTATTCAGCTCAGACTCAGAGTTACGGCTGTTTTCCTCCCGTGTCGATCTCTACGTGCTACGAAGGCAAGATAGGCTCCTGTTGCTTTTACGTTTCATTAGTGCCAGACGTCCCTCTCATTGAGTCGCAGTAGAGAGCTGGCTAATTCATTTTTCATCACGAGTTAACTTTCTGTTGCAGTTAACCGAATGATCCAGGAACACAGCGACCTGTTTTCAGACTCGCAGTGTAAAGTGTGCAGCGCTATCCTCATTTCAGAGTCTCAGAAACTTGCTCACTACCAGGTAAGCTTCCTCCTTGGGGTCCTTTTGAATGATGCTAGTTAGCTAACTGCTCTGAGAAGTCCAGATATAAAGTGTATATTATTTTACAGGCACATTATCATAGCTTGATAATCATGTTGAAACATGTATTTTTTAAGTTTGCACTGTAATGTTGCCTTGTGTTTTTTCCACCCCAAGAGCAAGAAACATGCAAGTAAAGTACGCCGGTATATGTCCACCCACAAAGATGAAGAACCCTTTGCCAAAAGATTTAAATCTTCATCAGATGAACCTGTAAGTCTGGCACACAGATAAGTAAACAGCAAAGTTCGTTATATGTATGATTCTGTTCATTTTCAGCCTTTCTTTCTTTTTTTCTTTTTTTTTGCAGGTAAGTGATGTAAGTCAAGGGGACAAATACAAAGCTTGCCATGTGTGCAACATGACATTTTCCTCTGCAGTGGTGGCAGAATCTCACTATCAAGGCAAAGTGCACGCCAAGAATCTTAGATTAAAAAACTTTGGTCCACAGACGCCAGGTATGAGCGCCATTTTTACTGTCTTTGGATTTTGATGTGAAATAAACCAATGGTGTTTTTCATTAGAGATTGGACAAATATTTCAGTGTGTAATTAAGATTTTATATGAAAAAAAAACAATCTTAGAAATATTTTTTTTCCCCTTAACTTGGAATCTAACCATCCACCAGCATTACCTCAGCCTAAGGCTAAGGTGAACAAGGAGGATGTGCAGACTACAGGAGGGCAGGGCCCTGCTGCGGAAGACCCCAACCGTTTCTGCTCCATCTGCCAGGCGTCTTTCAACAACCCACTCATGGCTCAACAGCACTATGTTGGCAAGAAGCATAAAAAACAGTTGACTAAACAGAAACTGATGGAGACCTATGGACCCTCCACCGCACCAGGTAGCATCATCAGCATCACAGTTGCAAAGACAAAAATATGTTGAGTAATGTATAGTTGCATGGCTTTAATTGTATTGCTGAGAGACAACAGAAATGATCTTCTTTTTCTTTTTTAAACCATCAGCCTCTACACTAAAGGGCTATCCATGCACTGTGTGCAATATTGAGCTCAATTCAGTGGAACAGTACCAGGCTCATATCAGTGGCTCCAAACACAAGAACCAGTATGTATTTTATCAGTGCTAATCCACGTATAGGAATTGTTACAGTAATGTTTTCTTCTCTGGGTATTTGTGTGTTTGTGTCTTAGAACTGTGCTGTTTGTTATAGCTTGTCCTCTGATATTGTTATTCATTTGTTTTACAGAGTTAAAGTTAAGAGAGGTGGCAACTCATTTGTTGGTCCCTCAGAGAACCACCAGTCACCGTACCAGTATGGCTCTAACGAGGAGGACCCAGCCCAGAAGGACTGGGGCAGCTTCAACCAGGACTATGAGTGAGGAGATGCCTTTAGCCATCACTGTCCTCGCCATGTGTGTGACGAGCTGCTACTGTTGGGCACAGACAATGTCTGTTTGTACTGTGCACCTCCTAATGCCAGCTTTTGCTTATCACAGCTCCTCTTTGTGTTTGGTGTATTTTTCTCCGTCAGACATAGATGAGTGACAACTTCTAACCTCCATACTGTATTCATTCTCTCAGAAAGTGAAGGATAGCAGAAGTCATTAAAAAAAAAGAGTGCTGTTCCCCTCTCATTAGGGCATTTCATGAGACCTTGCATTTCAGTTTACGAATATTTAAGTAACTTAAGAGTGTTTATTGTCAAAATATGTTACGTAAATACTTCAGAACACTACAGACAGTTTCTGGTGACAGTCAAAATGTTTTTTCAAACCTTGTTTTACAAAATTTGTTTGAAAAGGAATGTCTTTTATGAAATCTCTCTAAAATGTTGTTGACATTTTAGCGTAATGGGTTAAGTTTGGCCATTTTTGTTGAAGTCAGCAACGAAAGGGGTGTCTGTTGGTGTATGTTGTAGCTTAAATAGTGCTATATTTCCTAGTTTTTTGTTTTATACTGCTATGTTCAAGGAATCATTTTATTTTTATGTAAAGTCATACGTTTGACCAGTGGAGGGCAGTAGAGGTTTTTTCTTTTCTTTGACCTGTTTCACCTTTGTATTTGCCTGGCTAAAAAGCCATTATGTTGCAGTCATCTGCTTACACCACAGTCTGTGGACTGCCGTTTGTACTGATTGGATGTTTCATGCTTTTTTTCTTGTTTTGTGGATCATCATTATTATAATTCACTAATTCTCTCTATTAAGCAGCATGTTACAGTTTAGTGACCATGTCCTCAATTGTGCAAATAAGCAAAATGTGCAAACTGATCATTGAATTCTTTTATGTTTCAAGTGCACAGTTAGAAACTTAGATTAATGAGGGGCTGTTCTCCAACGTATGGAACTGTGTACCCAGCTAGAACCTTTTCAGCTTAATAGAAGTGAGTGCGGAGCACATTTAGTTTTTTGCTAAATGTTAAAATTGAACAGGATTAATACAAGCAGCGTGTACGCTTTGGCTACAAATGAACTTAATCTTTGTTTGGAGCACCTGCTGTTTGTTAGCAGTTGAGCTGAAGGTGGTGAGTGTTACACCTTGCTCCATAGATGGGGCTGATGGTAACAGGCTGTGGCGATAGGTGTAACAGTTGCTAAATGTCTAGTAAAATGATTCAAACATGGTTGGTTCAATTATGTGTTATTTGAACCAGGCGTGCTTTCCAACCTTAAAACGTAACGGCTGCGTTAAAAAAGCGTTATTAGTGAAAAGAGACAAATTTATATTTGACCACGAAGTAGAACAGCAAATATCAGCATGATTAAACAGCATTATATTTTATTTGCATCTTCGGTCATTTTTTTTTTTCAATGTACCAGAAGTAGAATACTTCCATGATAGAGGAAGGTCCTCATGATGAAAATGTCTGAAATATATGTCCAAATTACAGTGAAAATGTACAGATGATGCTATGGAAACAAAAAGGCACATTTTGTTTGAATCTGATTAACTACATGCAAAATCCTTGTTACATTCTGTACATCTGTAACCCCCTTTTTAAGTATACAGTACCAGTCAAAAGATTTGGACACCTGGTTATTTTTTTTTTGTTTTTATATAAATATAATCCTGGACTATGTTCACATTCAGGGCTGAAGTGCCGCAAATATGATTTTTTGCATAAATGGGACACATTTGCCTGACTAGATTTTTTTTCAGACCATAGAAACCTTCCAGTCTTATTTGAGCCACTCTATGTGTGTTCCCTGATCATTTATACAAAATATCTGCCTTATTATTGTGTTTTTTTCTTTGTGTGTGTGTGTTGTTTTTCCTCAGATGCAGTCTTTCTGTATAGGTACCATTAGTTCTTGTAATTTCCTCATATGATGAAGTGGAAATGGAGACATAAACAAGCCTTTTATTTATATTTTTATTAATAGAGGATGTTTTATTGGAAAATATGTAAAAGAAGTATGTCATATACATTTGCATTGATCTTGTAGAGTTTTTACAGTGTTTTAAATTGTTAAATCATAGCAGTATGTCCATACAGGTTAAACTGCTCAGGTAGTTAATTAAGCCCTAAAGCTGAGTTTTTAATAATAAGCAAGCAGCATACAGTGCTAATGCCATATGGAAAGCTGCAAAATACACGTGAATACTATTGGGGATAGAAGAATTTTACAACGGATTGGGCACTGGAAATGCATTCTAGGCGGCCGCTCATGGAGCTGCTTGAGAGAATGCCAAGAGTGTACAAAGGTGTCATCATGGCTTAGAAGAATCGAAAACAGACAATGTCTTTTGATGTCTTCACTATTAAAGTGTGGAAAATAGTAAACGTAAGGAAATTTAGTACTTCTGAGTAGATGTATCCAAACTTTTAACTGGTACTGTGTGTCCAGTACTAATAATTTGTTATGATACTCAGGTTTTGTGTTACCATAAAATGTAGCATAAAAGTTGAGGGTTTTTTCCCAGTTGATAAAAGCAAAGATGTAGAATGTTTGTGTAAGGGTAAGAAAGAAAGTCCTGATGTTCATATAATTTTAGTGTTCTCAGCTTGAAATTTGCCTAGGCTTAAGACTCTAATGATGTATGTGTGTGTGTATGTGTGTGTGTATATATATATATATATATGTATGTGTATATATATATATATATATATATATATATAAATTCGTAGTTTTTGTTAATGTTTATATTGGAGAATTACTGGTTCCATCCTGTTCTGTTAACTTTCATTGAACGTTAAGAACATTTTTCTTTCTCCTGTAAAATGTTTATTTTTTACTGAAAATATATATATATATATATATATATATATGTGTGTGTGTGTGTGTGTATGTGTGTATGGGTGTGTGTTTATAGACGCACACAGAACACGATCAACACATCAAATTGCATCAGCTATTTAGTGATAATATGAACGTTTTCTTTTTCTTTTAAGAACCTGATTGAAGAAGTGAGTGTAAGAAAGTTATGTGTAATTTCATGTATACAGTATATACTATTGATGCTGAAAGGGCGGAAGTTGAAAAATGTGAAAAATGCTATGTTTCTGTAATCATGACAAAACGGCACAACATATAATAAGGAAACTTCTTTGAGTTTGGTGTATTGTCACATACTTCAAGAAATATTAAGGGTTAAGGGTAACATAATTGTCATACCAGAAGAGATAAAGGTGTGATCTTGTAGAGTCATGTATAGTAATGTAGAATCATGTACAGCAAACTAAATACTTATTTGAGTACCAATTGTGTTGTTAAACACTTGAGGTTGAGTTGTTTTGTCCCCAGGTGTGTAACGTTTAGGGCTTTAAAGCAGTGTAAAAGCAAAAAAAGTGGAGTGTGGCCTACTTGCTTAACCTTATTGGTAGCATATTAGTTTTTGTGCCGTGAATTATCAGCTTACTTTTTAAAATAGTCAATGCCTTGATTATGTACAGTAAACATTTATTAAAATGTTTCAGGAAAAAAACAAATTTCCTGGTCTGGATCTGGTTTCAGAAAATGCATATGTAACTGGAAATATTTATGTGGTTGAACGGATTATTTATTTTATAGTAAAAGAGAATTCTCCATTTGCCCTGTAGATGGAGCCCTTGGTATATTCAAATAACGCCTATGGGCACATGCCCTGAGTCTTGGTATTTCAGAAACATACTTTCTAACACTTAGTCAGGATGTTGTGGTAAAAGTTATCCCTTGAATATTAAACCATTCAGAATCATTCCCAGCAAACGTGCACTGCATTTGACACTGGACTGTTTATGAATAAATGCTCATGTAATTTAGTAACTCCCTGGTTGAACATAGTTTCATAGTTCCTTAGTAATTTGTTTCCTTTTCTAGACCGCATTGGTACATTCCTTTTAAGTAATAAAGGTGAATGAGGCCTGGTTTTGGCATAGGTGCGACTTCCATTCATAAAAAAACGAGGGGAGCAGAAGGAGGGCTCACTGTTTTCATTGATAAGATCTATTTACTCTGAGAGGGGAGGTGTCTGGGGCCCCTCCATTCACAGTGAGTGAGGCGCTCTGCCCCCTCTGCTGAGGCGCCACAGCGTATAAACAGCCTAGGTCCGTATACAGCCAACACACAGACGCACAGACTCCCACTGTGTGCCTTAAACTAGCCAAATACACCGTCGTTAGTTTTTCCATAAGCGTGCGTGTTCACTACTGAGATATTAGCCTTGCAGTGTAGCTCTTCCCCATGAGTTTCTGCAATTGGGTAAAGTTTACTGACTATAGAGGACATGAATTGTTTCAAATTTAGCAGTTTACAGTCCTTTGAATACAGTACTCTACCATGTTCTGTTAATCAGCTCTCACTAAATTCTTGCTGGAAAAATGATTGTAGCAAACATCATAAATGTTATAGTGACTGAACTGTCAGCACTTGAATACACGTTTGTGATAAATGTTGTAATAAACATTTTGTACAATTTCTTGATCAGATTTTCCTTCTGCCAATAGTAAATTGTTCTGTAGATCTTTGTGAACTGATCAAGAGTCTTCTGCTGCTGCCTCAGGGCCACCATGATTATATATTATTGTTGGTAATCTAAGGATTGGTGCCATCTCAAAAATCAGGATTTAGTAAGAAAATATATTTGTCCTATATTAGGAGAATTGATAAGGGACATTCATATTTTTGCAGCCTTTACTTTTGCCTTACTTTTGTTTGTACCAAAGCCCCAGCATTTTAGAAATAGCACTACTAATAATTGACTCTTAGACTTTGGCACTCAGATTCGGATTTAAACCAGTGTTGCAATGTGCCTTCAACTGTGGATGACCAATGGGCAGTAGGTTAAAGTATGGTGTTTTTGTTTAGGGCATGTTTGGTCTATGCAAATACAGCTTTTTAATCTTCCTGTGGGTGCACTATCTAGGTTTAATGGACAATGCAAAACATTTTAAATCATTCTGATTTTTTTTTATTATTACTGTTATTAGATTATTATTGAGTAATCATCTAATTTGATATTTTCTTATGCCCCATGGTTGAGCGCAGAAATCATAATGTAAACAGTTTTCTGGAAAACAAGGAAATGCCACAGCATTTTCTATTATTGTGGCCTCCTCTAACTGACAGGCCCTGGCATAGGGGGCGTAGAAGGCATAGGGGTCCTGTGTGTGCAAGTGCTTGCCTTGTACTCGTTGAGGGACATTTTGTAGGTGCGGGTTTGGCAGAGGTGGGGGACGCTATGTTCACTACTTTCCCAAGGACCCTTTCAGTGTGTAATTGTCTTGGATGGAGATGTCCAGAGGTCAATGCCTCAAAGCCTGTGTGAACAAGGAACAAAACAAGCTTGTGTGAACACTGACCAAATGGGAATCACAGGTGACAAGAATGGGTCACATAAATATGGAAATGAACCGACAGTGTTCATTGTCTCTTACTGCTGTACCAGTTTCTTTCACTGCTTGAGAATGAATTACAGATTGTGCAAATAAACACAAATGTGTGTGGATACTTTTAATTCCAGGAGACTCCTGTGAACATCAATATCAGTTAAGCTTAACCCGAGTATGAGTGCAGAAACACTCAAATAGATTGTAGTTGCCTTGGGTGGAATATATAAATGTTTAACTTCGGGGATTTCCACAAAATCTGTTTCAGTCACCTAAGTGTTTAGAAATCTCCTTTTTCTCAGTCTCATTAGATATGCAAGGGTAACAAAAGAACAACACAGCTGTTTGCCCACGGTTTTATCTGTGGCTGAACTAGAATCGGTTTCCAAAAGGTAAAACATTTCTCTTGCGGTTTTGCAATATCTTTGAAAAGTATATCCTCCAAAAACAAACACGTTGCGACTTGCGTGTTCAATCTCAGCTCAAACATATCATGTTGAAAACATAATGTAGCCTGAGATGTTATTCCAAGACTCAGCATCGCAAAACGTTCTGGGGCAGTTGCAGCAATGCTGTTTCATAACCCAAATCGGATGTTGGGTGACCTAATGTAACAAACATGGAGAGAAATTTAGAGCTGGAGATAAGGGAAGGTCAAACACTTGTTTGCCTGGCGGCTGAGGTCCACTCCACTCTACTGTCGATGAACAGTGTGGGAAAAGCCTGGAGCAAGCTGGGGGAACGGTGGGCAGGGACAAACAACAGCACACTTACGAATGAGTTTAGTTTTAGAACTGTATTTGTTTTAACAAGGTGTCAGTGAGTGCGGAGGAGTGGTGTGGCAGAAATATGGAAGAGAGGTGTATCATGTTGCCAGAGATTAACATTAGCACCTGTATACTACCTGGCAGATTGACACACAGATTTGCTGCTGGACGTGTTCTGAATTCAGGCGATGTAAATTCAGTCAGGGTGGACATCATTCAGTGTAGGAGTAAATTAATAAATCCATAGTGTGATGGATAAGTTAATTTTGTAGTAATCCTTATCAACCTCGCTCTATATTGCTCCCAAAAGGGATAACATATATGTCTACATGTGACTCTCAAGTGGGGATTAACCCTCTATGTAAGCTGTAACTCTCATGCACTCCATTTCCTGGGCTCTGAGATCAGTGCAGGTGGCTATGGGGTTCAGATTACTTCCCATTCCCCACTAGACCAAAACTTTTCACAATCTGAAAATTCCAGCAGATCACTTCTTATTATTCTGACAGATGGACACACTTAATCTGCACCAGTCAGACAGGGAGTATGTGCTACAACCTGTGTGAATGGAAATCTTGGACAGCCACCTGTCAAGCTCCTCGTCAAATGAAAGTCACAGCATGACACAGTCAAACTAAAAACGTAAAGTGTTTGCAGCTTTGGAGCTTGTTTTCAGTCTTTGTTATGTATTCATTTGTACACACAAGTGCCTCTAAAATATCTTCAAATATTATTTTTTAGGTAGTGAATTATTGGAAAGTAATTGTGTGGTAATATACATAAATAACCTGTCCATTTAAAATGGTCCCATAAATGAGTTTCTATCAACTATTAAAAGAATTGTGGCTTTC